AAAAGAGTCACCATGACAACAGAGAGACCCTCACACCCCAAAATATGATTAGATTTCTCCATGGAGAAGAGTGCTGGAACACATCCAGCTTATTGGGAACTCTCTTCTGCCTCCTTCGGTAAAAGCCCTGGTTTGTTGTCCAGAGCAAGCAGGAGTCTCAAATTCATCAGTATTCACTGATGAAGCCGTCTCTATTCATTAACAGTGTGACTGGATCAGCAGACACTTATTGATTGCCAGGCATATGCAAGGCACTCTGATGGATTCAGAGAGTCATCTAAGGAGTTGACAGGCCCACTGTGGTGACAAGCCAGCCATGTGGGAGCTGACCTCTGGGTGGCACAGATCCTGCTCAGGGACCTGGGACCTGAACAGAGGACCCTGGTGAAGAATCACGATGTCATGGTGTGCACTGGATGGTTCTGACCCACAAGAGGGTTCTTGTCTGAGGGTGGGGGAAAGCCTGCTCAGAGCCTTAATTTTATACAAAGTCAACCACCAAGTTACTGGATCACCTTGGACATGTTGTTTAACCTCTCTAGCCATTACTTTTACCCTTTACATGAAATGGGATTATGTTTTCTTCCACTTCACCCACATTAATCACATGGCAATTATTGCTTGTTTGAACACATGGCTTCCCAGACAGGCCTTGGGAGCTACTCAGGCAGTGGTAATTCACTGTTGTCTTCGAGGTACCCAGCACAGTGCTGCATATGTCCTAGGCACTCAATCCTAAATGAATGAATGAATGGGCATTGGAGGGTCCTTGCGACCCCTCCATTCTTTGCCCACCCCTCCACACTGCAATTATGCTGGCCTTTCATTCTTGCAGAGGAACTGGGGTTGATGCCACCTTTGGTTTTCCAGGACAGCACAGAGCACACAGTTGTCCCAGGCCTGCTGCCCAGACCACTCCAACCTATGGTCAACTCACCTGCTCTGCTTTGGGCCATTTTGCAGCCAGGGGAGGGGAGGGTCCCAGGGAGTGGACTTGGATGTTGGAGCCAGGTATGAAGGACACGGAGAAGGGAGCAAAGGAGGAAGTTAGGGATGTTTAGCTCCTTGCTGCCTCTAAGATGTGTGAGAACATGCTGTGTACTCTGGGCATTGAGGGAGCAGCTAGAACACCATTAGCCAGTTTGATCTAACATTGCTTAGTTTCTTGGGTGGAAGGGATCTTTTGAGTTCCCATTAAAGGCAGGGAATCAGATTTCTGATATCCAGGCTTAGATAGAGCTGGGACTAATTGGTGTTTCCACCAACCAGAATGGAAAAACTTTACCGTATATGGGGAATTGGTTAGAGTACTCAGAAGGTTATTATCTCAGGAGTAGAACAAAATCAGATATAGACTCAAGGATGCTCTGGTTCCACATAATGAAGTTTAGAAGTATAGACTTACTTTTGTGTCCTAGAAAAAAGTTTTAAAAAGTTTTAAAAATACAAAAATAAGAAGAAATGTAAAATTTTTGCTCTTTAAAATACATTGTTGCCCTGGCTAGTATGGCTCAGTGGACTGAGTGCTGAACCAAAGGGTCACCAGTGAACCAAAGGGTCACCAGTTCAATTCCCAGTCAGGGCACATGCCTGGGCTGCGGGCCAGGTCCCTGGTTGGAGGCATGTGAGAGGCAGCCGATCTATATATCTCTCACACATCAATGTTTCTTTCCCTCTCTTTCTCCCTTCCTCCCCCTCTCTCTAAAAATATAAATAAATAAAAATCTTAAAATACATTATTATGAAAATAAAAATGCAAATCATAAGCTTGGAGAAAATATTTGTGAAATGTATATCTGACTAAGATTTGTATCGAAATATATACAGAACACTCACAACTCAATAATAATAATAATAATAATAATAATAAAACAATCTCATTAGTTAAAAGATTTATACACTTCACCAAGGAAGATATATACATGACAAATAAGCACATGAAAAGATGCTCAACATCACTAAACAGTGGCAAATGCAAATTAAAACCACAGTGTAGATACTACTACATACTCATCAGAGTGACTGAAATTTAAAATACTGACATATTAAGTGTTGGTAAGGACATGGAGCAACAGGAATTCTTATACACGACTAAAAAGAATGTAAAATGGGGTGGCTCTGGAAAAGAGTTTGGCAGTTTCTTAAAAAGTTAAGCATATGCCTGCCGTACAACCCAGGCATGCCTTTCCCAGATATTTACCTAAAAGCAATGAAAGCATGTGCCCACTGGTACAAGTATCAATACTTGTACACAAGTGCCCACAGCAGTTTTATTTGTGATAGCCCAAACTGGAAACAACCAAAATGCCAATCAACTGATAAAGAAATTGTGGTATGTTTTTACAGTGAAATAATATTCAGCAAAAAAATTGAACAAATTATTGATACACCCATCAGCATGGATGAATCTTAAAATAATGATGCTAGGTCAAAAAATCCAGGAAAAAAGCATGCATATTTTGTGGTTTCATATGTATTAAATTCTAGAAAGTGCAAATTCCTCTATAATGATAGACAGTGATCAGTGGCTTGGACTATGGTGATGATGGAAAGAACCAAAGTGGGCAGATTGGGAAAATATTTAAAGAGGATGTGACTCACAAGGCTTGGAAAAGGACTAGATATGAGGGATGAAGGAGAGAGGGGTGTCTCCCACATTCCTAGTTTGGAGCCTAGGAAAGATAGTAGAGGTGGCGTTTTCTATTCTAAGATACACCAGGTCTGAATGTCAAAGTGTTCAGTTTTAACATGATGGAGTTTGTGTAAGGAGGTTCAGGTGGAATCACTGAGTAAATAATTGAATCTTCTGGTCTGTTGCTCAGCAGAGAGACCTGGGCTGGAGGCAAAGGATCTCAGAACCCTGATGCAGACACCAGCCTGCAGTGTCCGAGTCATTATGGATCAAATGAGACATTCACATGGACTATTGAGTCTGGTGGAGGAAAAGGGACAGCATGGCTTTTCTCTCAAGGGGAGCAAAAGCCTTGGCCCTTGCCATGACCAACCTTTATTGGGTTTCTTGGCACATTACCTGATGGTCCTCATTTACTATGCACAGGTTGGCTTTAGGTGGTTTTCTTTTACAGAAAACAAAGGAGCCAATGCCGCTAATCACATCACAGAAGAGGGATATTTGCAAATGAAAAGGCAAAAGTGGTTAAACTGGTTACACTCATACTTGAAGGTTTAGCATGAATTTTAGGAAGTTACTTTTCAGTAAATGTCCTCAATTCAGGATGAGGGAGTATTTTAGCAAGAGCAAGACTCAAAGCGGCCTAGGCACATTGCAGGCCTGATTTCCCACGGAAGAACCTATCCATGGGTGTGGGTCCTGTGCATCTCCGAGTGGGAGTTGGGCCCATGCCACTCAGAACAGTCTCCTACAGGATCTCAGAACCCAAGTCAGCTCAGCAGGGCTGTAAAATTTAAGTAACCTGAATACTTTGTACTAAGAGAATGGGGGACCCCAACTGGCTTTGGAAGGCAAGTTTCAAAAGCATTTGACCTAACAGGATCAATTCAGTTCCTCTCGGGAATACTGAGATATTTTCTTTTCTTTTCATTCAGGGGTTTACACACACACACACACACACACACACACACACACACACGCTAAAGGCGAATACTGCAGTTCAGTGCAAAGGGCCCTGAAATGTAGCCCTGGCTCTCTCATTATGTCACTGTGATTGATTTTGAACAAGTAGATTACCCTCTGTTTGTTGTTTCCTCTGGGCAGAGAATTCTGCATCAGCAATGACTTTCTTTCAGCATTTTAAGGCTGTTCTCAAGCTTGCATCTTTTCTGTTTTGGTGGCTAACTGGAAGTCTGGGATGTAATCGGGTTCCCAGCTCTCTCATGAACACGGAACTCAGTATTTGTCACCCAAGGGGCCACAAGACTGTGGACAGCTCCACCAGGTTCCCACTCTCCTCTCGTCTCCTTTCAGATTGGTTTCTAATTGTAAAATGCAAGGGATGGACTCTTGGCTCACTCATCCATTCATCCAATTTTTATAAAGTATGTGCCAGGTACTTTTGTTGATGAAATAGATGGCCCAAATCCTTGTTGTCCTTTTATGATTTCTTGATGAGATTTTCGTGAGTTCATCCAGTGTTTGTTTTTCCTTAGCAACATCATTTGGTTGGTCTCAGAGTTTAGAGGACAAAAATGAATATTTAGACCCGTGATTCAGCAAATTACTTCAGTTCTTTGTGAACTTGTTTTCCTGAAGGTCAGGTGCAAGATCTATCTCATTTTTACTTAACATGGTTATTTTGTGTTCTGTTTTTCCAAATTTGCCTTCCTAATTAAGTTTCACCCAGAAAAATGGTAAAATGAGTTTGCTCCCCCCACCCCAGCTGCTCTCAGGAGGGGAAGGCACTAGAACAACATAAGAAGTCTGCTGGGGGCAGGGAGAAGGCATGGCAGCTGGAAGCTAAGCCAATGAATCATGCAGACATAAATAACAGAGAACAGACCACCCTGGAGCTGAGAGGCTCAGCCTGCAGTTTTTAAACATACGCATGTGTTAGGGAGAGAGCCCAGCACTCTTGCAAGAATCAAAGAAATGACCTTTAACCCTGGGGTTGCCAGCAGTGCTGTGGACGCAGTCATGGAGCAATCTCCTTTTTTTATATCTTAGTTTGATATTCTCTACTATATTAATCAACACAAATCCATTATGTTTTATTCTCATCTTTATTTTTGTGTACTTTTTCAAGTTTTTATAAGGAATGGGCACTCCTTTTACAATCAAAGGAACAAAATCCATGGTAAATGGAATTTTATTTATTTTTTAGATTTTATTTATTTTTAGAGAGGGGGAAAGGAGGGAGAAAGAGCAGGAGAGAAACTTCAATGCGTGGTTACCTCTTGAGCACTCCCTACTGGGGACCTGGCCCACAACCCAGGCATGTGCCCTGACTAGGAATCAAACTGGCAACCTTTTGGTTCACAAGCCTGCACTCAATCCACTGTGCCACACTATCCAGGGTGGAATTTTAAAATATATTTGTAACCTAGATACTGTAGTGGACACAAATAAAATGCTTTGTGCAGATGTATAATTCCAGTGTAAGGCAGGACTGCAGGCAGCACAGACTTTGGAACTTAGAGCCTGGTCCAAATAAAGCGCCCTGCTCCCTTCCCCAGAGAACTCCCTGATATTGCTGTTTCCTCCGTCTCTGTCCTCAACTACTTGTCTTCCCCCATAGTGAAGGCCCTTTAATGGTGAGGACAGAAGCCCATTGTTTCCCTAAGTCTACAGCACACATCAAAGGAGGCTGTGTAAACATTTGCTCAGTTTTTTGCCCAACGGATTGAAACTGAATTGAAGATGAGCCCTGTTCCTATCTGCTCTCTGTCTAGGCAGGGATTGGGTGTGTAAAACGCATATGCATGACTTGGGTAAGCCTGGGACTATTTTTATCAGATGGGTGGGTTCAGCTTCCATTGAATTTTGAGAGTTTCCCTGGGGCCAAGATATGTATGGGGAAATGACAAAGGAGCAGGGAACAGAAGGGGAGACCATGGTTATGAGCCAAAAACACTGTATTTTTTCGTTTCTACTGTTTTACAGCCATAAGTGGGTGTGCTCACTGCTCCATCGGACGAATGATGATGCCAGGCACTGAGCTATAGGCTTGGACTACTCAGGACTCTCTTGTTTGCAAGTGACAGAAAAACCAACTCTAATTTGTTTGGGGGAAAGCAGATTTACTGGACATGTAATGGAAAAATCCAGGTCTTGATGTCAGGCACGACGGAAGGCGGCCTGTCTCTTGACTCCTCTTTCCTTTGGGTCAGCCACAATCTCTAACATAGCCTCCCCAGGTGATGGCCAGATGGCCACTGGCTGCATCCTACCTCCTCAACAACCACAGAGGGAATAAGTTTGATGGGGCTAATGGTCTTGTGATGCTTCCCATATAGATTTTCCCTGTAGGAACCTTTTCTTTTTCTTTTCTTATAGCTCTATCCTCTTTCATGACTCAGCCGTGAGGTGTTATTATTGCCCTAAGGGTCAGGGGAAGGTGAGGGTGGGTACCACTCAGAAGCCAAAATCCACAGAGAGGCAGGAGGGGATCACCTTCTCCAGAACAGAAGGGAGCACAGAACCTGTCAGGGATGGGATGGTGAGGAAAGAGATGGAGAGAACGAGTCTAGAGAGAGTATGCCAGGATCCCTGAGGAGCCTGAGGCCACCTCTGTGCCAGGTGTCAGCCTCGGGAGGAATGTGGGACACAGACATCCCAGGTGGGCTGAGGAGGAAGCTGAAAGCAGACAGCACCTGTGCCCCACTTCCTGGTTGGAACTCTGCCCCAGGACGCCCTGTGCCAACGCTGCAAAGTAAAGTGGTGATGAGGAACATTTTGTGTGGAAATGGTTCCACATGGTGTCCCTGAGTCACCTTCAGTCCCTTTGTGACAGAGAAGGGATCCAGGAGTGGCCCCATGTTCCCTGTGGAAGAAGAAAAGGCGGCTGAGAGGGAACCACGCGCTATGGGGCCACAGTGGCTGGGAGAGCAGGATGGACAGGTAACTCCATCCCGCCGATCAGAATCAAGCCCAAGGCTTGTTGGGTTGGTTGGCAAAGAGAAGCCATTTTTCTGGTGGACTTGTGGTGGTGAGGTCGTGAGCCTGGATCTGCTGGGGTCTCACATGGCGCCTGAGAGAGTCCAGTGCACATGAAAGGAAGCAAAGCTGAGGGGGAGTCCCTGGTCTTCAGTCCCCGGAACTAATCCTAGGCTCTTCATTTACATGAGCCGGTCAATTCTTTTTTTTTTTTTTCTTGTTAAAGCAAGTGTGAGTTGGGTTGTCTGTCATTTACAGCAGAAGGTGACCTGGCTAACCCCTATAGGGAAGAGGGAGGCAGCTCCAGCAAGGGATGGACCCTGGAACTAGTGGGAGAACCATCAGGAGGAACCTGGAGCAGGAAGAAGTGTTGGGTATGGAGGTGGGGACTGAGAGTCACATGGGAAAGTCTCTGTGATGCTGAAGAGGACAGGTGTCTTTGTGCTGGGAGATACATGGTTCACTGGGAGGGGCTGTGTCAGCAGTCAGGACAGGATGGAGCTGAGGACAGGGTAGCATCACAGGAATGAGGTGAGAAAGGCAGGTTTGCTGGGTTTGGAAGCAAACACTGACTGGACACTGAGCCTTCAGGTGAGGAAGACACCCAGGTGGCTGGGGGAATGGTTAGATCACAGGGTAGATGAGTTTGGGAGCTGGGAACAGAATTTGGTAAAAGAAGTCCTGGTTTGAGATGGGAAGTTCAAAGCAGAAAACCAGAGAGTAGGTAGAAATGTGGGTAAAATATGTGGGCATAGAACATGGGTTTGGGAGCCATGAATACAGGAGTGAAATTAGAGGCCAGTGACTAGCTCCTCCAGAAAGTGTGCCTGGAAGGTAAAAATCAGTGTCTATTTTGCTCAAGGCCACATAAGGCATACAAGTGTCACTGCAGACTTCTGACACCATTTGAAAGAAATGTATGGCATCAAATCAAGCTCAATTCTCCGATGCCTGAGTTATAGAAATAGGTCAAATGCTGTGTCAATCTTCAGCAGCTTCCGAGGAAGCCGCGAGGCAGGGAGGCAGGCTTTGGGGATGGCTACTTCTCCGGGAAGCCTGCAGCCCATCCCGAAACAGAGTGGCAGCCAGGTCTCCACGGGGCCGGATGTGGTCGGCACCGGAAGAGAAGCGTGGAGTAGGTGAAGGGGGGATGGGGGACGTGGTGGCGAGAATCGTGGCAGATTGCGTCCACGCGGCAGCAGCCACACAGCAGTGGCGGACCACAAACATACGCGCCCAGCCTAACGCCGTGATCAAAGCGGCGCCAGGCCACGCACACGGCCCAAATGCACCCACACTAGGGGCCCAGCCCGGGGCCGGGTTTGGGCGCCCCGGCCTAGACGTGCGTCGGAGTAATCCCTGATCCCCAGTCCCGCGTTGTGAGGCGCGCAGAAGCCCTGCTTGCAATGTGGCCGCGGTGCCTGCGCACTCAGACGCCCGTTACCGTAGCTTCCCCTCGCCGGGGGCTCTGCAGACTGGCCAGTCTTTGGGGGCTGCGTTTGGCATCAAAGAGTCAACGGTCCTCTCTGCAGCCCCTGCTGCGCCCTTCTCCCCAGTCGGGCAGCAGGGCCTCCCTGCCTCCCCGCCTCCCCGCCTGCGGGGCGGAGCTCTAGGGCGCCTGGCGTGGGGCGGGCCGAGCGCAGACCGCGGCGAGGTCTACAGGGGGCGCTGTAGACCTGGTGGGACAACTGTCCCGCGGTCTGTGCGCGCGATCCGTGCGCGCTGTCCTTACCACCCTAAGCGCCAGGCGGAGCCGAATCTGCACGGATCCGCGGAGCCGTGGAGCCGCGAAGCCGGAGGCGGGCCGGGCCGGGACCATGGACGGTGAGCGGGGCACGGGCCGGGGCCGGGCTGGTCGCCGTTGAGGCTGAGCGGCGTGGAGGCTTGAGGCGGGCGGTTGTTCCTGGGTCTGGGATTGTGAGACCGAGGGGGTCTTCTGGACGCGCCGAGGCCGGGACGACCCAGCAGTGTCTCCTGTGGGAGAGTGATGGGGTTTGGGGACGGGCTTCCGCCGGGTCTGAATCCCGCAACTAAGCCTCCTCCCCTATCCCTGCGCCCTCACCAAACCCTAGTCCGACTCGCTCCCTCTCCCTAAGCCATCCCCTTCCCCAAGCCACCCCCGCGCACTCCTTGTCCCAGCCCTCGCCTCCTCTCCACGCTCCAGCGCCCGCTCCCCAAGCCCTCGCCTCCTATATCCTGGAGGGTGCCTGGTCCACCTCACTACCTCCCGCCTTCCTCTCTCCAGCCCCGCGCCTCTCCGGCCTCGCCTGCCTCCACTCGAATCCCCGCCCTTCCAACCCTCTCCTGCTCGGCCCCCTCACTCCTGCCGCCGGATTCTGGCCCCAACTCGAGCTCCCCGGGTCCCGCTTCCCGCTTCCCGGGCAGTTCCGAACCCGCTCGTCTCCAGGTAAGAAGGCGGCGACAACTTCTCCGCGGCCTTTCTGGGGGTGGGGCTGGCTCCTCTCGGCAGCCACCTGCGCCCCGCGCCTGCGGGCGTCCTGAGGCCCCGCGGCGGGGTCGCTCTTTGTGGGGGCTGACTTGCCTGCCTGGAAGCTCAGGTTAGGACTGCGTGGTTCCGACCCCATGGCGTTGCTTTTGCTCGTGAACTTGAATGTGTCACGATCCTTTAAAGAAGCTGGCTTTGTCACACACAAAATTGCATCTGCTTAGAGCAGGTTGCACTGTGGCTGCAGGGGTCTTTCAGGTTGTACCTGTGGATGGTTAAAGGATCAGCGGTGCAGCGGATGTGGAGCCATTATTTTCCCGCTTCGGCTGGGCGCTAAGCTGTAACGAAGAAACGAGGCTACCACCGCCTGGGGGTCCAGGGTCTTCTAGCTAAGGCACAGTAGCTTTGTAAGCATTCAAAAAGTGAAATTAAGAGAGGTGTGGAATCAGATCGGTTCGAAGGGGGAAGTGTGAGGTGGGTGGCCAAGGGGGATTCGCAACTTGGGGACATTTGTTGCTCTTTGGAGAAGGCCCTCGATGAGCCCTTTGTGGAACAGCCAGTGCCCAGCCCAGCCTTGCAACGTGACCGCCTGCAGCCGGTGCCTGGCAACAACTCCTCCTCAGAGGTGCTGGTGCCCAGTCTGGACTTCTGTAGGAAGAGAGTTTAACACAGATGGTTTGACAAGCCTCGTGTTGCTTGGAGAGAGGTGGAGATGCTTGGTTACAGCCTGAAAGCCAGGGCATGAGTCTGCCCCTCCCTGTTCCAGGCTGGCATTAAGACTTGGATTAAAGTGTTTGCTGATTGCAAAGAAATGACACGTAGGGGGGCTACATCTCTTTTAGGGGTTGGCTTCTGGCCAGCCCACCCTCACTGACACGTGGGAGGCTGCTTTTGGGCACCAGGGACAGGATGAACCACCTGGTCTCTAGAGAATGGCTCTCTAAGCATTTATGAAACTGCATTATCAGTAACTTATTATTAATGATTGGCTTGAATAGTAATCAGCTTAATACTCATTCACCCTTGAATGGTGAATTAATAAATAATTAGCTCCGGGTCACAGTGGGGCTCAGACGACCCCTCTGAGTGTCACACATTCCCATGGGCACCTCCTTAGCACTCACCACTCCTCTCTGCAATGAGCTGTTGACTCTTGGACGCCGCACTGGCCGGGGCCAGGGTTTAACTCTCTGTGTGGCCCCAGCACCCAGCCTGGCACCCTCTAAGTGGTAGGCACTTAGTGTTTGTCTAAAGAAATGGATCCTCCTCTTGAATCCAGTCTGAGTCTATAACCCATGTTTTTCCATTGTGCTGCACTATTTTCAAAATGTTGTTGTCCTTAAATTCATCAAATTTTCAAAACAAATACATATATATAATCTCACTAGAGACAAATTCATTTCTGTGTGTATTTGGGACAGAGAGCTCAACTTATGGGTTAGGCTCTGACAGCTGGGTCTGTAACCTCAGTGGGGCCTCCAGAATTTCCAGGAAGGAAATTAGTTGTCCTCATTCCAGAATTGGGGTGAGAGCCTGATGGGCCCTCTGGGGAGCTAAAGCTGTTTGCTGAGAGCTGAGTCCTCCACAGCATAACCGATAGGGCCCTGAGCTGTGGCCACAGCTGTCTTCTGCATCCCTCATCCTGCCCAGGAGAGAGGAAGCACTAGGAGACCTGTTACACTTGTGGAGCCCACCGGCAGCTTCAGATTGCACCATCGCCCCCCCCAGCGGTTGCTGCCCACCCCAAATAACTGCTTCCCATGCAGAGCTGGAGTGCCCCTTTGTGCACATTTCTGGTAATATGGTTTGCAGCTCTGTTGGGGGGAGGAGGCAGGTGCTCTTGGATGGTGTTTCTGTCAGAGGCAGCTGTGAGACACTGGCAGATGGAGCCAAGTGCAGTCTTCTGCCGTGTCAAAGGTCAGCCCTGGAGAATACAGCCAGAGGCTGAGGGGGTGGGAGCACCTTGTGCTCCTTTTCATCAGGAGATCAGGAAGAGCTGGAATTCAGAATGCCACTTGGATGCAGGAACCTGCACTGCCCACAGGTTCCCGGCTCTCACGGGCTTATCTTTCTTACCCAGACTGTCTCTGTCCCCAGGTCTGGCTCTTACCCAGAATCCCTGCAGCTGGTGAAAATCTGTTTTCTGGAAGAGGTTTAATTAATGCCTGCAGCTTCTGGGTGAGAAAGGGAGGGAGGGACTGAGACCGACTCTGCTATCTGGAGGTGGGGAGGAAAAGATGAGAGAATATCCAGGGTACTAAGGATTCAGAGGGGAAGACTTCCACCCTGGAACAAGGTTCTTGGTTGGTGGATTAGGACTTGTGCCCACATGCTGGTGTAGAAGTTACCTTAAGAGCAAAGTCACCGAGATAGGAATAATGGCCCTTCAGTCACCTGAAATAAGGTTTGCTGGGTCCACCCTTCTGGTTTCCAGGCTTTGAAAGCCAGCCGAGAGTTCAGCTTAGCAAGGTGGGAGAGCACTGAGCCATTTTAAGTTTCTGAATGAGGGCTGTGCCTCTGTGGGTATGATGGCTTAAGCGACATGGGTTTGGGGCCACCTTACACCTAAGATGCTGGAGGGTGAGTCCAGGGAGTGGGAAAGGGAGGGGCAGCCAGGAGGGCCTGTGCACCTACACTGAGGGGATGAAGAAGAGGCTCCAGCTGCCTTCCACTAGGGTTGTGGGCATTTTGACAGAAGCAGCCTCCCGGGGGCCCTTCGTGAATGTGCTGGGCAGCCTTGCAGATGGATTAGGGCCTGGAGATACTGCAAGGCAGTTATGAGAAGGCCCCTGAGAACCAGGAATGAATTGCATGGTCTGCTCTGAGTCCAAAAGTCAGGTGGGTCAGGGTGGTCTAACTGAGCCACAGACTCCAGCCTACTAGCCTCCAGCCCCAGAATCAGCAGGCTGCACTGGCTTTTGGAAAGGAACAGGTCAGTCAGCTTCCTTCCAGAGCAAGGAGAAAGTTCATGATGAAAAAGGCACTGAATAAAGAACTTAAAGAAGCCTTGTGGGGTAGTTCCTGCAGCCCAGAGGCCACCTGCTCCTGCATCCTCTTGGCTGGGTCACCTATGCATCACTGTCTCTCCCTCCCTTTCTTCCCCCTTCTCCACCAGCCCTGTGCATCAGTGGAGCCACCTCTGTGCTGGTCCCCAGGGTGAGGGAGAGTTTGTGCAACTCAAACATCTGGTAGCAACTGTAGGAACTTGAAAATCCTGTTTGTTTTCACAGTCACTTCCCCAACTTATGCATTCATGTTTCTGTATTACTAGGCATCCCTTTGTCATCTGCTTACCACTTTCTGTGCCTTAGTGTCTAACTGACTCTTTAGAGAGATCTATAGCCAATGGCATAGAACCAGGGGTTTAAAATGAGGCTGAGTTGAAAGTTATTGCACCTAGCTTTCACACCCCCAACTCTCCCTTCCTCTCCACTCTGTGCGTGGTTAGAGTTATCATATCAAATTTATGAATAGTTTGAATAGTTTGTTCTTCCTCTCAGTTATATGGAGACATGTGTCTTTCCAAACAACAGAACCACAGCTGATTTTTAAAAAGATTTTATTTATTTATTTTTAGAGATAAATAAACTGGTGACCCTTCACAGGCTGACGCTCAGGCCACTGAGCCACACCAGCCAGGGCTAGCTGACTCTCTTAGACCTGCTTCATTCTTGGATCGAGCCCCAAACTTCATGACTTCAGAGCTAAGTAAGCAATGTCATTTTGAGCTTTTTAATTATAAAATAAAATGAAGCTCTTGCTTGCTAATTTTGTCATCTGCTAATAGGAAAATCTAAAGTTAGACTAAAACATTTGCTGCCTCATTAACTCTTTGTGCTTCTAAAGTGAACAAAGAAGTTGGATTAAGGTAGAGAAAAGTTACTGAAGTTATAGTGGAAATGTGTGGAAGCTCAGAGATAACAATGAAGGGAGACAGTCTGGTAGAAGTAAATTGTTCAGCTTTACACGGTTACTAAAATGTGGGGAGACAAATAGGAACTTTTGTAGAAGTCTAGGCATGTGTAGAATTTTGACAATTATAGATTGATGAGTATAGAAATTTGACCTGTCATTGTAATGAAATATACTAATTATTATGTCATACATTATGTTTATACAATACCTTATACACATAGGCAACCATTCCCATGACCTTGTTCAATCCCTCCAGCAAGTCTGGGATGGGACCTCCTTGGAGATGGTGAAACAGGACCGCAGGGTGTTTAAAAGGCTTCCCCTAGAATTCATGTATTGTGAGCAGAGAATACTATGTAAACCTAGATAGTCCTGCTACAGTTGCTTGATAACCAAATGTGGTTACATAGTTACTTAAAAATTATAGGATCTCCTGCTTAGGAGCGTCAGTTTTCATTAAAAG